TTTGAATAATCTGCATTGCTCAGAATATTGCTTTATATTCTAAGTATGTATGTCTCAGGAGAGCATTTAATCACTGTTAAAATGCAAGTCTCATGTGGTCCTGTGGAATGATCTGTTGTAGTGATAGGTTTCTGTTTCAGTAAAACTTCTGGAGACAGTAAAATAAAGTATATTAATTCATGAATAGCAATGATAACTCTCTTTATGCTGCTGCTGCTACTACTAAGTTAAAATGGGAACTGAGAAGAGATGATTATCTGGTTTAAGGCACAGTGATAATAAGCATGTCACATCAATAACCTTATATAATTTAATGCTTGAACCATAGTTATTACCACCTGTGTTTTTTCATTGAGGAAAACAAAGTTTCATGTATTTAAGACACTTGCCCAAGGTAGCGTCCCTACCAAATAATGCACACTCTTGAGTTTACACACTTTTTAAAAAGATTTATTTGTTTTTATTGACAAGTCAGTTGTACAGAGAGGAGGAGAGATCTTCTAGCCATTGGTTCGCTCCCCAAGCAGCCACAATGATTAGTTCAGTGGGAAAAAAAATTAGAACAATGGGCTTTGAATTCCTAGAAATTAAGCTAGCCTAGTTCGCTCAAGCAAAATTTTTCTTTCTCAATTAAATGTCTACTTTTGTAAATTTGAAGTTTCTGTTTATAAAAAGGGAACAGATTTCAGGTATTTCAATATGCAGGTTTAAGAACTTAATGATGTTTCTCACCCCACTGTCGTTGCCTCCCTTGCTCCTGTCCTTCCTCTTCTTTCTTTTTTATTTTTCTTTTAATTTTTTTCTAATGACCCTTTTTTATTTAAGTTATATGCACATACTTACATATTCATTAAATAAAGAATTCAAGTAAGTAGTAAATAGAAAATCGCTGTTACCCTGGAATATAGACAAGGACCATAAAAATAATCAACTCTCAAAATATCAATTATACTCATGTGTTCCTCTTTTTGTACTCTGCATGTTATTTGCTGCCCTTCTGGAAAAAAAAACAACTAAAATGTGTTTTTGGGTACTAGCTTATTAGGACTAAGGATCTCTATTTGTATCTATTTTGTTGTAAAAGACAGAATGTCATTCTTTTTATTGCTGAGTAGTATCTACCATGTGTATAGCCCACAGTTTATTTATCTGGTCATCAGCTGATAGACACCCAGGCTAATCACCATTATAGTCAGAAGGTTAATGTTCTAGTGAACATAGAGTTTCAACAAACAAAAATTAAAATGACTGTAATTCAGCAGAAATCAAGCATGAGTTATTAACAATAATCAAATGAAGCTATGTTTAACTTCACAATAGTAGTATATAATTACTGATTCATTTCACAAAGATTTGTGACAAAATTTTGAACATTGTATTTGTTATAAAACTAATGCAGTGAGAAATATTTTTCTTTATTTTCTTCAATTTTTGTTCCCACTTAATAGGGAAACATGTAGGATTTGTATTCTTTATCCATCTTGATTCATTCAACTTGATGGCCTCCAGTTGCAACCATTATGAGGCAAATGATAAACAATAGCCCATAGTGAATGTACACTACATTTTCTTTATCCATTCATCTGATGATGATCAATTTGATTGATTTTATATTTTGGCTCCTCTCAAAAGTCCTACCATACATATGGTGGCCCTGGTATCTCTTTTGATACATGGTGTTTAGTGTTCTGTACCTTTTGGGTATGTATCCGGTAGTGTGATCTATCCAGTGGATCTGGTCAGGCTGTATCTAGGTATTTTTCAGAAATCTTCTTACCATTTCTCACAGTGGCTACACTAAGTTGTATTTATACTATAGTGTATAAGAACCTCCACTTTCTCCACAATGTTGCCAAAATCTCTTGCTCTCTGCTTTTTGGATAAAAGTAATCTGACAGGAGCAAGGCAATATCTCATTGTGGTTTTGATTTGCAGTTCTCTGGTAGCTAGGGATGCTCAACATTTTTTTTCATATATTCACTTCTTGGATATTTGTACTTCTCTTGACTACTGCTTATTAAAATCTGTTGCCCATTTCTTAAATGGGTGAGATGAATGGTTGTTGTTGGTTTGAGTTTTTTGACTTGCATATATATATTCTGGATATTAATCCTTTGTCAGATAAATAGCTTGCAGATTTTGTTTTTGTTCTATTGAATGTCTCTTCACTTTATTGTTTCTTTTTGTGTGTAAAAGTATCTTCATCTAATATAACCTCATGTCTCCAGTTTTAGTTTTATTGCCTGTACTTTGGAAGTCCTATCCAAGAAGTCTTCATCTTCACAAATGCCTTTAAGTGTTTCCACTACATTTTCTTCTAGGAACAATATAATCTCAGGACTTAAATTTAGATCTTTGATTTTTATTTATGGAGAGAGGTGAGGGTATGATTTCATTCCTTTATTTATGTGCAACCAGCTTTACCAGCCTCATTTAGTGAAGAGATTATCCCAGCTCCAATGAATGGTCTGGGCACATTTGTCAAAAACCAGTTCCTGTATATACATGGATTAATTTGGGGACTCTCTCAGTTATAAACATTTTAAACCCTTTCTTTGAGAGGGTTATTTTAGTTTATTACAGGTAATCAGTCTCATGAAAGGAAATCTTTAAGTTTTAGGAAAAAAATCTATATGGGTGTCATATGATGCTCTAATTCTTGATTAGCTAGAATTGTTCAAAGTAGTTAGATCAACTGAGGTAAGCCATGTTAAGCTTCAGCTTTGGATGCCAATAGCCTGTATCAGAGTGTGTGTTTGAATCCTGGCTGTTTTCTTTTTGACCTACCTTCCTGTGAAAGCATCTGATAAGGCAAAAGAAGATCAGTATGTTTGGTCTTTCGCCATTCATGTGGGAGAATAAGATGGTGTTCCTGCTCCTGGCTTCAGCTTGGCCTAGTATATGCTGTTGCAGTCATTTTTGTAATGAACTAGCAAATAGAAGATCTACTCTCTGGGTTTTTTTTTAACCTCTCTCATTTTTACTATGAATTTCAAATATATAAATAAGTAAACTTTAATCTCTTAAAAATGTAACTTTAAAGATGTGTTTGAATTTGTACCTTTCATGATTTTAGAAAAAGTAATTGTCATGATTTTGTAAGATAATCATGATTCCTTTTCATACAATTATTTATTAAAGCAATTTTTCCATCATTTCAAAATAACTTATTATCTTAAAATGTTTTCAAGAAGATTTACTAATTTATTTGAAAGGGAGAGTAACAGAGATAGAGGGAGTGTTGAACAAAGAAATGAACCCCTTGGTACATTTACCTGATGGCTGCTAGAGGCAGGACTTGACCAGGCCAAAATCAGGAGACTGTAACTCCACCTAGGTCCCCCACATGGGTCTTATGGGTCTGAGCACTTGAGCCATCTTTTGCTGATTTCCAGGTAAATTAGCAGGGAGCTGAATTGCAAATGGAGCATACAGAACCTGAACAAATGCAAGCAATGCGGGCTATGGCTTAATCAACTGTGCTACAATGGTAGCTCTGTGTTCATTATTTTAATTGATATTTTTGAACTAATTTTCCTGTCCCTCTTTTCTATCACTTAGAACCATACAATAGGAGCAGTTACAAGCATTTTGTTGAAATAGGACAACACAGGTATTAATATTAAAGTTTAAAACAAATTTGAAGAAACAGTAGAACTATCCACTTCAGTACAATGTCACCTGAGCACTGTTGTCCAGTCATTTACCCTTGAGAGGTACGATCATCCACATGCCTGTGGTGTTCTACTACCTATTTCACAGTGAGGCTCCAGGGAAACATATGCATTATAGTGTTTATGATGGCATAACGCAGTCATTTATTTTGTAGAGTTTGTCTTACAGAAAAAGAAACCTGAAGCGTGATGGCTGGTATTTTCACTTTTAGAATTTCCTGTTATTTGTTAGCCATAACATGCTTATGGTTATGAAACCAATAATAAAATCTATAGAAACAAAAATGATGATCATCATCATTAAATGCAGACAAATTGATCAAATGACAAATAGACATGAAAGATACAGAAACCTGGATTTGCTGCTTTATCACCTTGATGGCATCCCTCCATAACTTTAGCATTCAGTTTCATTACATAAGAAAATAATAGGTTACGCGAACTGAGACCTAGGATTCTGTTCTGCTTTATATTTATGCAAAATTACGTTGGATATGAGAGAATCCTCTTTATCTGCTCACTTAGAGACATTAAATTAGGGGAAAGATATAATCAGTTTGTATCCAGTGGCCCAAACAGAACAAAATAAATATGCTTGTGGGCTTTCCTGTTTTATCCGCTTGTAGTTTCTGTGATATGCATGTGCAATATTTTACATGGTTACTATACAAAGCTATGGTTATACTTTCCTAGAATTTGATGGTTGGTAAGTTATGAAATCTTTTTTCCCCTGGAGGTTATTTCTGAAAGTCTTTAATATCTTTGTTTTATCAGTGTGTAAGAAACATATGTATATGTATTTTAAATTTTCATTTATAAAATTGGTTACAAATAGGGAGCAAGATGAGTAAACAAAGATTTTTACTGGTTAATCCCTAAATTTCCAAGGAAACCAAGTTTGTGCCATCTGGAATCCAACAGCGCAGAACTCAGTCTCTCTCTGATGTGGGTAACAGGGAATCAAGCACTTGAGCTGTGACCTACTGTCTCTCAGGGTGCGCATTATTAGGAAGGAAGATCTGAGCTGAATTCTTATCTGGACGTTTTGATGTAAGATGTTCAGTGTCTTAAGTGTCATTAAACAGTGAGCATACTCCACTCAGTATTTTTTGGTAGTCATTGTTTATAGTTAACTTTTATTTGAAATGGAAACAATGCAGCAATAGCATTATTCAAACATTCTCTTTGTTTTAAGCAGATATTTTAATTTAAATTGAATGGAGCAAATAGCAATGTTAATGGTTTTCAAAAGCCCAAGCATCCTCATCATGCTTTGAGAGAGGTTTTTTTTTTAACCTTTTTGTTTTTTTCTGTTTCTGCGTATAGAACTTCAGATGGTGGCAAAGTGGTTGGCACCATAGAAGTCAGTGTCGTGAAGATGGGGGAGACTGAAGATGGAGAAACTGACCACATTACAACAGATATGCAGGGACAAAAGGTAGGTTCTCAGCCAGCTCAAGGCACAAACTAAATTAAAAACAATCAGCTTTGCCAGATGCCTTTTCTCCTGACACTCTGAGGGTTTGCAAGTCACATTACTCATAAGGTAAATGAAGCACAATGTGTGTGTTTCATCTCCTGGATGAGAGGGTCTATTTGCAAGGAACTGTGCAAAGCTGTGCATCATTCAGAGATACCTTTCCCTTTGCTGCCAACTGCCTTATTCATACTGCTTCTTCCAATTTGGAACAAAAATATTGATCGTTTTGCATTCTGATAATAAGCTGCATGGGTTAAGAGAAGACTCAGAGAGTGATATTACCAAAAGTAACCTACTCTTCAACTCCAAAGGCTATGTTGGTTTGCAGTTTTAGTTTGGATTTAATTTTTATATGAAATCCAGTAGATTAAACAAGAACTTTTTTGCCTTATGTACTTAGTGAAAGGTAGGAAATATATAGAGCAAGGAGCTGGTGCGCGATCTGAACGAGTGAAATGACAGCTAGAACAAAAGCAGTTTTTATGAATCCTGAGATGAAGTCTCAATGCATGTAAATAGGGAGCCAGGAACTTTTGCTTTCTATAGTAGAGAAAAATCTCCATGTAAACAAGAGTCTAAATTCCTTTCTTAGGATATAATTACCTGTTGTATTGAGACAATAGAGGTTCAGGGGACAGACATCTCTGGTTATGAAGCTGAGTTTACTTTTCCACTGCAAGTACTAAGTTTGTATTAATGAGAAAGAAAAGAAAGAAAGAAAGAGAGAGAGAGAGAGAGAAAGAAAGAAGGAAGAAAGGAAGGAATGAAAGAAAAGAAAGAAAAGAAAAGAAAGAAAATAAAGAGAAAGAAAGAAAGAAAGGAAGGAAGAAAGGAAAGAAGGAAGGAAGGAAGGAGGAAAGGAAGAAATAGCAGTGCTTTTTAGGACTTAGTTTCTGGTGAGTGCTCCTCATCTTTTGCCTGTCTGAATTTCGGTAATTATGAAACAGCTACACACTATAGGCCATTCGGCTAGCACTTAACTAAGTTTACCTTTCAAAATGCTTTTTTCTTGCCCTAGAATAGCCTAAGTAGTTCTAGTTGTTCTCTACTACCTGAAGCCTTTACTTTATATATAACCCTCCCTAATCTCCCCTGGGAATGACTACGTCATGAAAGCATCCGTGGAGTCGCAAAGTAAATGTGATTACTTGCAAATGTCAGGGTCAGGTGAAGTTCTGCAGCAGAATCTGTTTAGTATTGCGCATTCAAGACCCCCGTGTTAGCCCTAGTTTACTACAGTCTAAGCTTGTTCCTTTAGAGGACTCATCTTTGATGTCATCACATGAATTCTTGTTTCCAGACTGAGGAAAGATTTGGGTTCTAACTTGATCCTAACAGTAGAAGCAGGCGAGCCCTCATTCCTGTAACAGTGTGCTGGGAGATTAGGAACAGAACCATTTTCCGTTTCAGAAGAGAATTACTTTGTCTAACACAGGAAATCTATTACCAGCCACCTTCTCATCCTACTTTTATAGCTTGTCCCCTGCTTGATCCTGAATTAGGTCGCTATTATGAGGTAGTATGCTTTAAAACATTCTCTTTTCATAACCATAGAGGTAAGGAATGTGCCCAACAAAGTCTTCCATAATATTGCTGGCTTAATGATGTGTATGCAAAAAGACTTAAGTGAACTATTTTGGAAATAGAAGATGCCAGTAGCAATATATGCCACATATAATTTAAAAGTGGACTAAAATGGTAAACACACAAAGCATTGTTGGCATCAGCTTAGCACTGAGTATATTCTTAGTGAGCTCTGTGAATTTTTAATATTACCATAAACTTTTTTGGTAAACTCTTATATAGACTCAGTAACTGAAGAGTATTTAGTGAGGAATATTTAAAAAGTTATGCTGAGGTAAATATAAAAAGAGGTATGTGAAAATATCTTTGTCTCAGTGTTATTCCAAGTGTGGTCAGAATCATCTGGGGTATTTCTCTTTTTAAGAATGATTTTATTTATTTGAAAGACAGAGAGAGAGTGGGAATGTGTGTGTGTGTGTGTGTGTGTGTGTGTGTGAGAGAGAGAGAGAGAGAGACAGAGAGAGAAAGGCATTTCATTTGCAGTTTAACTCCCCAAATGACTGCAGTAGTCGCTACTGGATCAGGTTGTAGCCAGGAGCAAGAGCTCCTTCCAGATTTCCCAAGTGGGTTCAGGGGCCCAACAACTTGGACCTTCCTGCATTGCTTTCCCAGGTATATTAGCAGGGAACTTAATTGCTGAATTGGAAGTGGATCATCCAGGACTTAAACCAGTGCTGGTAAGTGATGCCAGTGCCACAAGAGTGAGTTCAGCCAGCCCCTAGGATATTTTCTTTACAATTCTGATTTGCAGGATCCTTTCTGTAGATCTGCAAAATAAAAATATGTATAAGTACATTAACACAATCTATTACTAATGGTGGGTTGGACCTGGCATACGTGAAAAGTATCTGAAATAGTTTATTCTTCTTACTGGTTTGGGGAGAAATGACTATACCTACCCTGAACATGAAATCATATGCGGTGAGAGAAACACATGCTATATATTACATAGATTTGAAGCAGGCAAGAGAATAATACTTTGATTAATCAGCTTGGGCTGCCCTGAGGAAATACCAAAGACTGTGCAGATGGAATAGCAGGCATTTATTTTCTCAGAGTTACCGAGGCTAATATGTCGCAGATCAAAGTGCAAGTCAATTCCTAGTGAATAATTAATTCATGTTCATGTGCTGTAGTAACTATACATTATGTGCTTTTCATTTGTGCGTTATGGACCTAAATCTTGAGAATATTCTGGTTGTTATGATTTAAAATATAATGAAATTACAAAAATAAAAACACTATTTAGAAAAAAAAAACCCTAATCTCTGCCTTCTGAGTACCCTCAGGATCCATATTTCCCCAAAGGGCTACTGTCTCAGGAAGAAAGGGCAGTCACAGAATATCAACACCTTCTAGAAATAGCTCCAGTGATCACTGTGTGGCCTAGGGCATGACACCACCTGGCATTGTCTCTGAAGCAAAGTCATGCAGGTACTGGAGGGTGATTTTGTTTTGCTTCCATTTGGATGTTTATAGCTGGTGCCTTTGCCTGGAAAATTTACTCTCTTCCTACTGATTTCCCCCAACTCCTTTAAGTAAAACAAGGAGGAGACTTCCTTGAAAAAACAAATCCTCTATCAAAATCTGCCTAGGTGAACATAAACCACTAATCAATGTACTGAAGCCAGGAGAGTTTTGTTTTCTCTGTTAGTACTGGTTCTCATAGACAGCTGGAGGAAGACACCTGGGTTGGTGATGGACTGCCTAGGCTTGCCTGTCTGACCATTCCCTGGGAACAGGCCCAGCGGCTGTTTTGTCTCTTCTTTCTGCTCAGAGAAGGGTCAATCAACTTATCTAGAAATGGTTCTTAAACCTAAGAGCAAAAGTTTGTATTGTCTCGCTGTAGATTGAAATTTCATTTTACCATATATAATAATTTCTTTTGACACATTTACTCTTTTATTTAATGTTACCTTAACTTTGGAAGATATTAGCTCTCTGGTAATCCAAAATCGGTCAATGTGATAGAAATGCTAAGTGGTTCCGTTTGTTAAGATGAAGGTACTGTACTCAGAACAGATCACTAACAGGTTAGAGATAGTCTTTCTCCTTTTTAAATTTATTCCCTCAGTATCTTTTAACTACAACTATAATATGTCCTATAATGATCTAATACATATATAGTTTGTATAGATATAACTATATAATCACAAATTAATCAAGTTTCATAGTAAGATAAGCCTGAAAACAGTTTGACCAAAAGATTTTCTTAAAACATTTTGCAACTATGCATGGAGTAGTATATTTTGTGAAAAAACGGAGTTCATTTCTCATTTTGAATTTTTTCAAGTAGTATGCAATTATTTTTTCTTTTATTCTTTCCTAGTGTCCCCTGGTATGGGAAAGTACATCCCCAGAAAGTGTGTGCGGAAAAGATAACTTGCCTTTTTTGAATACAGGTATGTAACTCAGTTTTGAATACTGCTGTTATAGTTTCATGTGAACATAAAATTTAACATTCTGTGAGCACACTATTGAACCTGCACAGTATTTGTGAATACCATTTACATATAACTGATAAGTCACAAGAAGCCAGAGAAATGAAAGAATATTGTGCATTTCCATGGAAAAGATAGATGCTTTAGCTGTATAGCAAAGCAAATTCCCTTTAGCTGCTGAATTATGATACTAAAAAGAGAAAATAAAAATTAAAAGGTAAAAGATGGAAATGTGAAATTCTTATTTACATTTCCTAATTATGTGCATTGTTGATAACTACAATCCTTGAATAGGGAAAATCAAGAGCTGTATTTGTACATTTCTGGGTGTACTCATGTGTATTGTGTTTCTCATAGTAATGTATTCAAATTTCAACAAGCGACTATACAATGTTATTAATGCATTTAAGAATAAACATAAGATATATGACATTTAAATTATTTGTGCTGGTTTTCATATATGATTAAGTTTTGAATGCTAAATTATGTAACCGTTAATAATAGTAAATAATGATTATGATGGTGCTAGGAATATGCTAAATGCCTCATAACCTTGCCTTAGCCAGTCCTGTGACTTACACTATAAGGAAGTTACTACCAGTATCTGCATTTTACAGATAAGAAAATTGTTCAGTAGTGGGTCTGGAATTTGACAAATTTTCATTTCTAGACCTTCGATCATAAATATCAGACTCTATTTTTATAAATTATTACACTGATGCCATAGTAAGATAAATCTTACTATATTTTCCTGAATTACTGTAGTCTATGGTTAAGCAGTGACATAGCTAGGATTATGAGATTATTGAATAATACAAAACTTGAAATCCTTACTAATATGTAACCCCTTAATTATTATTAGTTTTCTTTTTGCCAGGAAGCTAAGAATAGAGACTATGGAAGAACAGGAATTCCTATGTTTATACACATAAAGATAAAAATGTTAGTTTAAAAATATATAAATAAAACTTGCCTACTTATGCAGAATGAGAGATCATCTGAAGTACAGTGATTATTCAGCATATAAGCAAATGCCAAGTAATTCTTTTTTAACTATAATTATTTTTATTTTTGATGACTTTTACATAGATGATGAGGCTGATAATGGTGAAGGGCTACTGGAAGGAGGGTGACACCATTATTTCCACATTCTTTTTTTTTTCCTTCCTGTATCTGGGGGAAGATGGGAGATAAGGAGAGAAACCCCACCAAGCCTCCCAAATACCTGTATACCCTGGGGTAGAGGACAATTATTGGACACCAGCCCAGGTGTGCTGATGTGGGTCATGCTATGAGGGTCCTGCTCAAGAAGTTTCATTAGTTGGACAGATCTAAATTACTGCTGATCTCTCCACTCCAAGCATGATGAAATCTCTCCAGAATCCCCTGGTTGATATAAGCTACTTTAGAGTCTCCATTTGCCTAGGTACTCACTGCCAACACTTGGCTGGGGTAGTTGATCAATTTGTTCTATCTTCTGTCCTCTGTTGTGATACCAATTATCCTCTGCAGACTCCAATGTACTGCCATATCAGTCATATACATCAGGATATGCTGTTCACTGCTCTAAGCCACTGAGGAGGCTCAGCTTTGACACATGCACTCCAGAGTCAGACCATGGAGCCTCAATTCTCTCCATGATTGGGGTTCTGAGTCTGGCAATTCAGATGAGGATATCCCCAAAGAAATTTCATCTGAGGTGATGCCAGACCTGTGTGTGTGTGTGTGTGTGTGTGTGTGTGTGTGTGTGTGTGTGTGTGTGTGTTTCAATTCAGGGTATGGCACAGTTGGCCAGTCAGCTTATGAACATGCTGGTGGTTACAATTGCTGGGTCAGTTTTATCTCCAGCTCTGTCTTGTATACAAACCAATGGGTGTTGCAGCCCAGCCCAATTCTGCCCACGTTGCATCCTGGTTGGAGTGACCCTATCAGACCCACCCCCGGCCTTGGCTCTCATGCCTGCTAGTACATACAGTAGACTGGCTTGGTCTGTCCCACATCCCATTCAGCATTGAAGACTATTTCAACACAACTAGCCCCACTATCCAGCTCACACAGCTGCTGGTGGGTGCCACTCTCTCTAGCCATGCCTGCCCCAGTCCTGGTTTTCCTGCTTACCAGTCAGAGTGGCAACCCAAAAGGGAGGTGCCCACTGTTTTCCTACTCAGCCTACTCCCACTCCTGGATCTTGCACTTTCCAGGTGGTTCTACAGTTTAACTTGGCATAATTTGCCCCCATGCCAGCATCTGCCACTTGATGACATAGCAAAAATCCCAACTAGCCTACACCCACTCTGGTTTATGCCTGCACATGTAGGAATAGTCTACCCAGTCTGGCTTTCCCCTGACCCAGCTCACATGAGGCCAACAGGTGTTGTAGTCCAGTCCAGCCTGGTCTGCCCCCAACCCAATTCTCATGCTCACCAGTAGGGCTCGTGGTTCAGCAAGGGAACCCCTCACAGCCCCCCTACTTGGTTCATCTCCTCCCACCTGGGTCTTATGTGTGCTGATTGGGTGCCACAGCCAAGTCTGGCATGGCAGTATGTGCTGTACCCTGGCCAGACCTGGCCCAATCCCAATTCCAGCTCATGCTATTTGGGGCTACAGCCTAGTCCAGCGCAGCTGGACTCCAGACCCAGCCCTCTTGTAAACTGGCTTGTTGCAGTCCAACCAGGCCTGACCCACACTCCATTCTGTCTCTTGAATATCCCCAGTGGGTAATATGAACTGACCTAGTCTGTTTCACCGCCAACTTGTGCCAAATGTATGCTAGTGCATACAATTACCTGGCCTGGTCTAGGCTGCTTCCTTTCTTGGTTCTTGTGCTCACCTGCAGGGACTGTGTCCCAACAGAGAAGATTCCCAACCTCCTCCATTAGAACCTCTCCCAATGCCAGATCTAGTGCCCATCAGTGGATCTATAGGCCAGCCCTACTTAGTCCACCTCCTGCCTTACCAGGAATAGTGGCTTTTCCTGTCTGGCCTTCACCCATTCTGATTTTCACTTGTTGGTGTTACAGCCCAGTCAAGCCTGGTCTCTACCCAGACACAGCTCACACATGGCTCAGCAGGGGTAGAGACCTAGCCCAGCTTGTCCTCCACCTACCCTGATTCTCAGAAGTACCAGTGGGTGTTGGAATGAAGCACTGTCTGTGCACTGCAGACCCAGCCCACCCTTATGCCAAGGGACACTGCAGCCAAGTTCAGACCAGAAAGCAGCCCCCACTCTAGCCCTTGCACTCAACAGTGGGAACCACAACTCAGCTAGGGCATCCCCTGTGCTCCCCAACCATACCTATTCCCAGCCATAGATATTGCATGTGCCAGATGTTGCTCTGACCCACCTTGGTATAATCCCTCACCTATCTTGGCCTTTGCCTTTGGATGCTGTAGCCTGGCCTGACCCAGTCTGCTCCCAGTCTCTACTCTCTCTGATGTGTGCTGCAACATGGTCCAGCCCAGTTTACTCTCATCCCTGGCTCCTGCAAACCAGTAGGTGTGACAGCTTATCCTAGCCTGATCTGTACTCCAGCCTGCTTCCTAAACTTGTTGGTGAGCTAAGGTTTGCTCAGCCGTTTCCGGTCTGCCCCCTTCTAAAACCAACCCACATATTTGCCAACAGTTGGAACTGCCTTGCTCAGCTTGCCTGACCCTCAAGCCTGGACCACGTGTTTACTAGCAAGAGCTATGACCCACTAAGAGAGTTTTCCAAATTCCCTCACTCAGCCTACTGCTGGACCTAGATCTCACACATACCAGCAAGTGTTAGGCTCTTGCCCGGCAAAGCCTGCCCCTCCATCTCGGCCTTGTATGAGCTGGTGAATGTTGTGGCCTGGTCTACTCCACACCTTGTTTTATGATGCATATGGAAGTGCTGTAGCTTATACCTTCCCAGGCTATTCTTGGTCCTTGTACCTGTGAGTGTTGGCAGGTTCCCTAATCACACTTAGGTCAGCCTGTCACCACCCCAGCTCTTGAGCTAACCAGTGGGACTTGTATTTCCATAGGGTTTGGCCCACATATATTTTCCCACTGCCTGGCAGTGGTGGATGGCGAGCTAGGATCCCCAACAGCAAGCCTTGCCTGACATAGATTCCCCCAGCCACTGCCACATAGCTGGGAGATTTAGACATCTGTGCCTCTGCACAGACTTACGTGGACTCTGCCCATCAACATGGCCACAGGGTGCAATGTAATTCTTATATGTGTTTGTATGACTTACATGTGTATAAGATTTAGTATTGGGAGGAACAAACATTGAAGGTTGTATCCAGATGGCTGTTTTCATTTACTAGTAAGGATTCTGATAACTTACCAGTGTGGTTAAAATAACTAGATTTTGTCAAAAATTTCACACAACCAGAAATTTGACTAAATCTTTAGTCCTTTAACGTAATAATTTAATCAATTTCATTCACTTAATGTTAGTTTTTAAAAATACATTTGAATTTGACAGTAAATTCAATTTCAATATAGTTTAAATTACTCAGGTTGACATCAGAATCATCTGCACTGTAATTTTAGGATCATTTGTTAATCATTTCTTTACATGAACCTTGTGATATTTGTATGCACAATGAAAAAGACTATTTTAGCATACTAATTGGTTAAGACTTTAAAGAGAAAAAAATGACTCTATAAGCAAGCAAATATGTACAGAAGAACAAAGAGACAACATATGGGGGAATAAATCTGCACTTTTTAATGTGAGGACCATAAACCCTGTAAGTCATTTACTACACTAAATTCTACATCATGAGGTAACTATATCTACCTAGTAATAGGACAATGAAAGCTGGAATTGATGGGAGAAGTTGATTTCTGCAGATAAAATGTATTCTTATTTAGAATGTGGTATTTGGTGTAACTGCTTAGGACCCTGCATCCCATACCTGAGTTCTAGAACTGGAAGTGCTCCTGATCCCAGCTGCCCCCTGATGTGCACACTGGAAGTCAGCAGG